GCCGACCTGGGGCCGCGCTCCACGGCATCGGTTACCAGGGCAACTGTGTGGGGTTTCCTCCGCGTCCATTCTCGGCGGCGGCGGCCATGTGTGCCGGCAAGGACGCGTTCCTCGACCTACCGTGTGATTATCAGAAGGCGGGTCGGGGGCCGTCTGCGGGTCCTCACTTCGTCCTTGCGAGACGTCGGCCTCGACGGGGGGATTGCCCGGCGCTCTGTGCCTGGCTTCTGAGCAGCCATCTGGGGAGGCTTTGGGGGGAGAGGGGGGCGTCCTCGCCTCTCCACGCTGGTGTGTACGGTACAAGTGCGAGAGAAACCTTAGTCTGGTTCCTTTAGTTGCTTGCCTTTTCTCCCTTGGGAGGAGCGGTTTTCAACGCTACATGTGCTCGGGGAATGGGGGCTTCCCCAAGGTGGGGGAGCGCACACGGTAGATCAGCGTCAGCCCCGAAAGGGGCCGGCTATCTTTTTTTTTAGGTGTTGCGCCTCTGGGTTTGGTTGATGGGGACCTCAAGGTGGCCACACACACCCCCGAAGTGGTTGATCGTTTATTTGAATGTTGGCCCCTGTTGTGTTGTGTGTTCTGGTGGGTGGGTTGTGATTCTGGAGAGATGGTCACGAGGGACGGGGAATCTGGATCCAATTGCGGAGCGGGGGTGGGGGAGCCTGAGAAACGAGCACCACATCCAAGGAGAGCAGCCGGGGCTCCAGTACCTCACTCTCGGCCGCAGACCAGGGTGAGACCGAGATCCCTGTCCTCGGAAGGGGGGTGCACTTTATTAGATCCTTCAGTTTTGAGGACCCCCAGCGGGCGAGTCTGGGGCCAGCAGCCGTGGGGATGGCAGCTCCGGTGGCGGGTGCTGTCGAGGAGGCAGCTCGCAGTTGGTTGGAGCGTGTTGGGTTGGGGGTCGGTCGGCCGGAGGCGGTAACTGCTGTCCGCACCCCTTGCCGTCCACCAGCTGAGTGTCCTTGTTGGCCCCTGAGGGGCAGTTTCTTTAGGATCTTGTTCCAGGCCGGTCCTGGATCCTGCAGCCAGGTACCCGTGGACTGTGGGACCGTGGTTTTCTGTGTGGGTGGTTTTTCTGGGGCTTGGGGTGGGGTGAGGGCTGTCGGTGGTGGGGGGCTTTCGGTTCTTGGATGTGGTTGAGGACGGGCTGGAGGAGCCCAGAGCGTTTGCCTAGAAGGTTTCTGGAGAAGGCAAGTTGGTTTGGTGTTTGCAGGAGGAAGTCCTGTCGTAGCTATGTCCTGTGGTGGTTTGGGGCGGTATGGTATGCCCACGAAGAGTTGGGAAAGGCCGGTCCTTCTCGGCCACACGTTCCCCCCAGGCCGGGGGTGTCGCCGATGAGCCCGCGGGCACTGTGAGCTTCCTGGGGAGGCGGGGCCTTTGAGCGTCTTGTGTGGTTATCCGAGCTCGGAGACTCTGTCGTATCCAGTCTTTGGGACCCCTGCAGTTTGGGTCTCTGTTGGCGCGGCCCTTTCTGAGGGATGGGCTTGGGGGTCTTTCCGCCAGGGGACCCTTCCACCGATTAGCCCATCGCTTATTGGTGGTGTGGTGAGCCGGCTTGGAGCAGTGGGGTTTTTTAATGAGTTGCAGGACGCGTTGGTCCTTGACCCTTTGAACCCGTTCCGGCCCCGTTACCCCCGCAGGGTGCATGCTTGGGGTTCCTTGGAGAGGGGCTCGTGCTGTCCCCCTCCCCTGTTGGAAAAGGCTTGCTCAGAGGCCGAGTCGTGCGTGTGGGGGCCGTGCCAGGGTGTGTGCACCCCGGCAATGAGCGGCCCACGACGGTGGTTCCCCTGCGTTTGCCCCTCGGCTGGTGGTCGGTACGCGTGGCTGACGCGTGGAGAGATGGAGATGGACGTACGGGCGGGGGGCCGGCGGTCTGGCTCCATGCCGCGGGTGGCAGCGTCCACTTTACCCGCCGGCCTTCACTGTCCGGCCCCCCCCGTGGCCGTCTCCATGTGTCTCTCCCACCCCGCGTGTGTATGGGGGGATGAAAATGGGCGCCAAGAATGGCCTCCTGCGGGGGGAGCTGTCTGCACTGCTTGGCCAGGTGATCGCCGTGGCCCGGCGTCCGATCGGACGTGGTAAATCGCAGTGCGTTTGAGGCAGGACGGTGCTTCCTGTCTATGCCGACGCATGAACAGTGGGGAGGGGTCTGCCGCTGAATGCCTGCCCTTCGGTGGGGCGCGTCGGGAGGCCCAGGTCCCGGGCCGCTGGAATGCAGCCTCAAGCGCCTGGTGTGTCTAGGGGGCTCCGTCCAAGGCATAATGTTTGCAGGAAGGGAAAACTGAGGGGAGGGGTTCTGTGGGAAGAGGTGGAGAGCGTGAAGCGCTTCAGAGATAAGCGCGAGGCCGCAAAGCCCGCCCCGGTAATATTCTTCCCGCCCAGGGCCTCCAGCAGGCAGGGGAGCCCCGGGCGTTCCCCCCGCCCCGGTGGTGCTTGCTGCTCCACGAGGGGCGCCAGCGGCCATGGGTGCAGGCGGTGGACGGTGTCCTGGGTGTTTGGGTCTTGGGGTTTCTACAGGTGACGCAAGTGTGGAGGGCCGGGGGTGGCCTCCTGCCAGGCCCTATCTTGGGACCCGGTGCAAGGCGTGTTCACGTGAGGTAGGGCCTCGCGCGGAAGCCACGGGGTGGGACACGGAGGCAAGGCTTGGAGTGGCTGCCTGCAGGATGAGGTGGTTCCTCAGGGCCCCGCACCCTGCCCGGGACCCAGCCCGACCGTGGGCTTACCCGTGAAACGCCTATGTTAGGAAGCAAGAGACGATGAGTGAGTAGGTCTCAGCCGGGCGAAGGCGCAGAGGAGGAAGGGTTGTTAGTTTAGCGGTGCCTTTTTTTTTTTTTAGGGTCTACCCTTCGGGGAACTTTAAATTTTGACAAGTTTTTGAATAAACATGACGGTTGTCGTTGACTGTTAAAAGCTCTCCAGAGCCGCCTTGGTTTTTCCTACATTTTCAGTTGTGGCGGGGTGTGGGCTGGCTGTGTGATAAAGTGACTTTTTCAGGGTGTTGACTATAAGGATGTGTGAGCCGGCAGATGGAGCAACAAAGGTGGTGTCCCAGATGTTTCACTTTTCCTTGTGTGGGGGGGACGTGTTTACATTATATAAAGGTATTCAAAAGGTTGAAAAGGTGGTGCGTGGGGCACCTGGGTGGCTCAGTTGGTTAAGCAACTGCCTCCGGCTCAAGTCATGATCCCGGGGTCCTGGGATCGAGTCCCACATCAGGCTCCCGGCTCAGCGGGGAGCCTGCTTCTCCCTCTGACCCTTTCCCCTCTCATGCTGTTTCTCTCTCTCTCTCAAATAAAGTCTTTAAAAAAAAAAAAAGAAAAGGTGGTGCGTGTTGGGCACCTTGGGTTGGGTGGCTCAGTTTCCCTTTTCGGGGTCGGGTCATGATGCCAGGGTTGTGGGATTGTGAGCCCTGCATTGCCTGCCTCCCTGCTCAGGGGGAAGCCTGCTTCTCCCTCTTCCCACTCCCCCTGCTGTGCTGCTTGTGTGACTGCTGTTGCTTTTTAGCTGCGATGCGAAGTCTTTTTAAAAAAAAAAAAAAAAATGAAAAGGTGTAGATTAGATTACCTGTCCCCAGGGGCTGAATTTAAGAACCAGGTTCCACACTTGGGATCGTTATTCCATGCTGAGTGTGAAGATTTATC